GGTTGAGAGTCCGCCTGCTGATGCAGGGGACACGGGTTTGTGCCCTGGTCCAGGAAGATCCCACATGCCGCGGAGCGGCTGGGCCCGTGAGCCATGGCCGCTGAGCCTGCGCCTCCGGAGCCTGTGCTCCGCAACGGGAGAGGACACAACAGTGAGAGGCCCGTGTACCGCAAAAAAAAAACAAAAACAAAAAAACACTGTTTTGAAATTGCTCACCTCTGCCAACCACTTTGTCTGCCTCTAGTTTGGAAGGTATATGAAATATCACCTTTTTGCAAGCTTCACAAGCAAAACTGAAGACCTAGGAAAAAATGGTCACATTAATACAGTATAGAATAAAGAACTAAGTTTTAGATATGCAAGATATGTAAGTCCTAGAGATCTACAGCTAGCAATACTGTATTGTATACTTAAAATTTTTGCTGAGAGTAAATCTTATGTTAAGTGTTCTTACCAAAAGAAAATAATAATAATATATAAAGAAGGTGAGAGGAAACTTGGAGGTAATAGATATGTTTATGGGATAGATGGTGATGATGTTCTCACGGGTACATACTTATCTCCAAGCTCATCAATTGGTGTACATTGAATATGCACAGCTTTTTGTGTGTCCATTTCACCTCAATAACATAGTTTTTAAAAAAGAATAAAGAACAAAGCCATATGATCATCTCAATAGATGCAAGCAACTGACATAATCCAACACCGACTTACAATTAAAAACTTTCAACAAACTAGGAATTCAAGAGATTTTGCTCAATGTGATAAAGGGCATCTATGAAAAACATCCTACTTAACAGAGAAAGACTGAATGCTTTCCTCTGACATAAAGAACAAGACAATGATGCCTACTCTCACCACCTCTATTCAACATTGTACTGGAGGTTCTAGCCAGGGCAATTACACATACACACAAATAAAATTAAAGGCATCCAGATTGGGAAAGAAGAAATAAAATAGTCTCTGTTTTCAAATGATATGATCTTGTACATAGAAAATCCTAAGGAATCCACTAAAAACTATCAAAAAAATAATAAGTGGTTTCAGCAAGGTTGCAGGATACAAGATCAACATACAAAAACCGATTGTTTTCCTATATACTAGCAATAAAAAAATCTGAAAACAAAATTAAGCAAGCAGTTCTATTCACAATAGATACCCCACCTTCATAGATTAAAAGACGTATTCCCAAAATTCATCTAACAAATTCAATGCACTCCCTATTGAAATCCCAAATAACTTTTTTTGCAGAAATTAAAAATCAATCCTTGAGGAAATGCAAGGGACCCAAAGACCCAAATAAACTTGAAAAAGAACAAAGTTGAAAGATTTCCCAATTTCAAAACTTACTACAAAAATACAATAATCAAGGCAGAGTGGTACGAGTGTCAGGACAAACATATAGATGAATGGAATGGAACTGAAATTCCATAAATAGGCCCTTACATATTTAAAAATACATTATTGGTTTTGTTTGCTGCCACTTATTTTAGTATTTCAAATATATGTCCACAAGTAAGATCAGGCTACTACTTTTCAACTTCATACCATCCTCATAAAATGAGTTAGGGAGAGTTCCACTTTTTTCTGTTCTTTGAAACAGTGTATATAAGGTAGAGATTATCTGTTCCATATAATTATGGAAAAATTCACCTATCTCAGGTCTGGGCTTGATGGATATGACAGTGTGTGTATGTGGAGACATTTGGCTTCCAATTCAGTGTCTTTATAAGTCTATTTACAGTTTGTATACCTCCTCGAGTCAACGTTGGTAATTTGTATCTTGTAGAAAATTGCCTATTTTGTCTCTTTTCAAATGAACTAGAATAATATATTAATATTATTATCTACTTTTTAAAACATCTGTCCTCTCCATAACTGTGCCTCTTTTTATTCCTAATATTGTCTTATCTGTGCCTTCTCTATTTTTCACTTGTTCAGTCATAGCAGGTTGGTCTATACTTTCAAATGATAGCATTTGGTTTTGCTAATCCTCTATATTGCTTGTTTCTTTTTCCTTTTTTAACTGTTCTTCATAAGATATACTCTAAGTACATGTGTATTTTAAGAAGTAATAAAAGAAACACTAGGGCACTTACCTTCAAAGTTAAGAAATAAAACATTACTATTATTTTCAAAGTCCCTATATAACTCTCCCTAACTGCATTTTCTTCTTGACTTCAACCTCTCCAAATATCAATAATGAATGATTTTTTTTGTAAATCATTTACTTCCCCATTTCTGCTTAATTTTATCCCATGAGTATGTATCCCTAAAGAAAATTGGTTTGTTTTGCCAACTTTAGGCTTTAAATATATGTAGTCATATGCCAATTATATGCAACTTGATTTCTTTCCTCAAATTATGTTTGTGAAATAGATCCATGCTGAATATATAGCAGCAGCCCATTCATCTTTGTCGCTGTATAGTACATCACTGGAAAGCAGGTACAATTAATTCATTAATATAAGGGATCGATATTGGAAAGGATGATATTCATATATAGATTTCAGTTATGCCATGTTTCCTGAATTATAAAGAAATTTGATACTATGTTTGTGGGAACTGGATATATTACTGAAAATAAAGTAAAAACATAAAATAAAACCACCATTAATTAGCAATGATGAGCTAATGACTTTTAAAGGTATTTTAAAAGTAACTTTTGTACAGATGAGTGCCCAACAACAAAAAAATACAACATACAAAAAAAATTTTAAAGATTAATGAATTATGGATTGACTATTTGAGTTATAAAAGAATTTATTTTAATGAAGAACCCTCCAGGACAACTTTAAATATCTGACATAAAACTTAGAGTTGCGAGCAACTTTAAATTAAAATGTAACAAATTAAGTTTTAAAAAATGATAATATAAAGTATTATCTACTCTAGTCTGGGAAAAATGAATTGCTTTGTTTCACTTTACAGTACTGCCCAAATTGTATTAATTGTATCATAGAAAGCTTATCCTACAAATCATTAAATCCTGATAGAACTATCTAATGCCAAAGGGAGAGTGAAAACACAGGCATACGTGTCAGTGTTTCATTTTTGTGCTGTTGTTCAATTTTAGAGTGAATAGGCAAGGTAGGCTTTCTAAAATAACACCTTTTTCAATAGAGGAAAAAGAAGCCAAAGAACAGAAATTTATAGAGTATCTGAAACATAAAGGAGATCTTGACTGAGCATATTGGTTACAGAATTTTCAATTCGTCGTTTCTCCTGTGGACACTTGCCATCTTAGAGACGGAAATCTTACCTTTCAAGTTCTTACCACCCTGAATTGTAGGATTTACCTTTCTGTATTCTCAGTGCTTTGATGATTCTACTAAATTTCTTTCTAACCAAACTCTGTATGATGGGATTCTAGCTAAATGGAAAGTATGATTAGCTGCAGGTCACCAGAGATGCCATATATGGGATGGCAACTGCCACAAGGATTACAACAGGGCCAAAAAATGTGCACAGCTTACATGTATTTAGTGACTCAGAGAGTGCTGCACCATTTAGCTGTATCTCAATATGAGCACCAATAATCTCCATTAAAGAAGGTAGGTGATAATGAACTGATATAAATATATACTACAACTCTGACTTCCTTAAGATCGTGGTTTTGAAATAAACTAGTTCGCATTTACTTATTTTATTTGTCCTAAGCTTTTTTCCCCACTAATGCAAAAGATAATAGAAAGTATTATACTCACTTTTATTTTAAAAATTGAATATGTCAAATGTTATCAAGAACAATAATAACAAAAAAGTCTGTTAAAGGAGTCACATTATTCTCAAATGCTATAAAGTCTGAAAAGATAGAATGCCCGTTTGTCAACATAGGTTGCAGGCAGAATTTCACATACTCCAAGGGGAAAAGCATGTTATGTTATAAATAAAAATACTATTTTAATTCCTTTTGAAGAGCCCTTTTAGCAAGTGATAGATTAACCATGTCCAAGTACATACCATTTATAACATATAATAGTAAATATAATTCCCGAAGTGGATTTGATATGGCAAACAATATTCAACACACATATAAAAGGATCTCATTATTTACAACAGGGCAGAAGACATCTGAGCAACTGAGCTAATGTGAATTAGTTTTCACCATTCCTAACAATTTTGCTACTTTAAAAGGAGAAACATTTTAAGAGCTACTCAGTGCTTTCAACAATAATGGGATGATCTGACACGTTTCTTTTCTAGTTTCCCCCTCTCCTTTCTTCCTTTTCTTTGTATATGTGTATGGAAGGATGATTAGGAATTGTAGTTAATTGTAGCAGTTTGGAGTATACTGAGGATAGAAAGGTGGGAAAGGGATGCAGATTCAGGAGAAAAGTGCAGAAGGGAAGATTCCACAACCTATGGGGCAGCTCAGTGGGAAAGCTAACACCTTAAAAGTCTCAGTTTTCTGTTGAAGAGCTCACTTCAAACAAGGAATTGTCTTTGAGAAATCCATTAAGGGGTCCATAAAATGAAAACTGCGTTTCTAAAATGTTATGCCCTTAATATTATACCAAAGAGTCCTAGGAGTCAAAAGGAAATACAGATATAGGATGGTCAACAGAAGTCTTAATTTATCCATCTGGACAGAAATTGAAGTTGTCTGTAAACTGGGGATTGCAGGTGAAAGAAATTATTCTATATACACTCTCTAGTATACAAGTCTCCAGACAGACCATTTAATCTAAACTTTAGGAAATTCTTTTAAAAAATAATCCTAAAGGAAGTCATACACTAAAGCTGATGCTATCCCTGTTTAGATGTACAGGCACCTTCCTGCCTTGCCGCGCCCCAGTACTCCCACCACCACACCCCGCCACCCGGACAGATACTCGCATTCCACGCCCTCCCCTCCAGCGAATACACGAGAAATCTTGAGAACACAGCACCTCCGCTGTTTTCTTCTCCCCATTCCGGGATTCCTTTCGCAGGGAAAACACAAAACACTAAATTCATGCTTTTAAACATATTAGCTGGAAACACTTTCAAAGATATCACAAAAGAGCGCACTTTGAGAGCAGTTCCCACTTGTAAAGAGTCATTTCATCAGCTCATTTTGTTGGAACAGCTGCCTGACAGGTCGACGCCCTCATCTGTACAATTTCTTGTCCATAAATATATCTTAGATCATAACTACTAAACCATTATTCATAGCTCGATGATTCAAAGAGAAGTCAAAGCTGGCACCCACACGCCCTGCTTGGGGGCTGAGAGCAGCAAGAATCCAAGTAGCCAGAGTCGACCTGCTCCCGAGCCAGGCTGGTCCTCTCGCCACCGGACCAAGCGCGGGGTAGTCGGGAGTTCGCAGCTTCTTTCCAGAGCATGTCTTGAGCGCAGCCGTGGTCTCGCCCGCAGCTCCGCGTAATCGCACAGAGTTCCCGATTTTTCGTTTTGTGTATCGCGAGTTCTCCGAGACTTGTCCGTACCTTCCTCTCGGGGTGGATCTCATCTTGGGTCTCAGGTTTCCTGGTCATAGAAGACCCCCAGGCTGGGCTCTGGGCTTGCGCAGTCCTGCCTGGAGCCGGACAAAGAACCACCCAGTCCCACGCCTCTCCCAACACTCCTCTCAGCCTGATTCTATCCCCTCAGCCCCACCCAACTCCCCCATCACACCGCCGACCCAACCCCCATCCCTAGTGGAGCCGCGCACGCCCTCGCGCCCCTGTTCCACTCCGGGTGGCCAGCGCGGGTGGACCGCTCAGGTGACCTGCTTCAACGGAGGCAAAACCTGGAAGCCATTTTTCAGAGGTAACTCAACGCCGGGACCCAGGGGCACCGCTCCAACCCCTCCTCTCACCAGCGTCCCCATCCCAGGGGACCCTGGGGTAGGGGGTCAGCCCCGGTAACTCACTCAGGGATCCTCCAAAACCTAACCCAACACTCTTCTTCGCTCTCTACCCAAACCCACCCCAACCATCATCACCAGCCCTAGGAGCCAGGAAAGGAGCGCGAACCCCAAGCCAGCCCACTCGCCACGGCGCACGAGAGAGCTCAGCGAAGCGGGAGCCCATCCCGTAATTCAAACAATCGAACAAGCCCGAAACAAAACCCTCAGTCCGGAACTGACTGAGGACTCGTTTCCCATCCTCAGCCCTCAGACCCCGAATCTGGCTCGTCTGTGCCCCTCCCGCCCCCACCCCCAAGATGGAGCTAAGCCGCGGATGTCACCTTTCGGTCGGCTTCGCCCCCACCGCTCCCCCTGCAGGACCAGTGCCCATTCGACCCCCTGCCGCATCCCGGCTCCGGGTAGGTGGTCGCGCCCCACCCCGCCCGGGCTCCACTCACCACAAGGGTCAGCAGTAGCTGCCTGCAGAGTGCTCCGCGCAGGGAGCTCTGGGGCCCGGCGGCAGCCATCGGGGTGCGGGGCCGGAGAGGAAGACGCAGGCACCGGGCGGGACGTAAGAGACCAGAGCCCGCTGAGGTGCGGCGGCGCGGAGGTGCACTTCTTTCAGCTGCTCGTTACGTCGCCCGGGACTTTTTCAGGTTTGCGTGCCGGAGGGCGTTTTCACTCCTGAGACAGGATTGGACTCGGGAGACGCCGAGCCGCTCCTCCTCGTTTTTTCTCAAGTTTTATCACCGCGAGAACCTCTGGGGAGCTGCCCAAGACTGCCCTTAGGCTTCTCGGAGGCCGCGCCGGGTGCTCGCTCGCTGGAAAGCTGTCCAGGCCACCCCCTCTCTGCCAGCTCTCCCACGCCCCTCCCCCGCCTCCGGCTGCCACGCCTTTCGCCCAAAGCTCAGTGGGGTCTTCCTCGCAGACAATGCTTGGCGCGTTCCTACTGCGGAAGCCAAAACCGCCTGCAGGGATACCTGCCCCAACACGGGCGCTCCTGGGTGCCAGCAACACCCTTGTCATTGGACCAGCGGATACTCCCTTCAACATCTGATCAAATGCTGGGCAAAGTCTCCTGGTTAATGCAAAATATATGTATTCTACCCAAATTTGCCTCACACGATAAGATAAAGGACGGGAGGGGAAATTATCCCAAGAGGCATGAATAAGCTGACACTTGTTATACCAGAAATTAAAAGCAAATAAAGGGAATTCTGATATCTTACCATTTTCACGCACCCAAAATATGAGGGATTACACTCAAAGCTTTCATTTCCTGCCAATCTCGTGGCCTTATCTGAGTCTTCTAAGAATTTGTTCTTCTTATATGAAATTATTGATTTGAGTAATTACCTGGTAATTATACTAAGACGCAATTTTTCGGTTTGTGGTAAAAGAAAAATCTACCACACCAAAACTTCTAGTCTAAAATGAGGCTTACAGATTCAATATCATTCGACAAATGTTTATCACTGCCCAGAGTTGCACAGGCACTGGGGCTGGAGGAAAGAAAATGCACAAAACCCAGTTCCTGCCCAAAGCAATTCAAAGTCTATGAGGGAATAAAGGCATTCATCATAGCCCAGTATGCGAAACCTTTTAATAGAAAGGAAGTTTACAACACTAGGGCACATTCCTTTGTTTCTCTCTAGACTGAGTTTTGTGTCCTCTAAGGCCCCACCTAGTAGACTCAGGATGAACTCCCTCTTACATATGTGCTGTTGCTTCATAAAGTCCGTGCACAAGTTCCAAGGTCAGGACCCTCAGACACTGCAGATTAATCAGAGAAGGCACTAAGGCCTTCATTCATCCCACCCTGGTCACCCCAATAGGCTGCTTGTCTAAGCCACGTGTTTCCCTAAAACTCACAGGCCTAAGCTCTCAGGTCTCAAACCCTAAGCTGAGCTTCCCAGTCCCACCTCTGAGGCATGCAAGGCTCCTATGCACCCATCAGAGATCCTGTTTCACCTCTGGACGCCTCGTATGGAAGAGCTCTTCCAACCTCAGAGAACGCTCTCCATACTTCACTCCAACCATTTTCACCTCCCATCCTCCAGACCCTCACCTTGACCCATGACCTCAAGACCGAGCCTCTCAAAGTGTCCTCTGGCCCCAGGCCGACTTTAGAAACAAGCCAGGATGATAGCTCTCATCAGAAGGCAAATTGGCTAGCACCTGATTTTGGACCCTCAGCCTCCAGAACTAAATAATGTTTGAGATAAGAACCAAGGAGAAGGGTAGGAACATGTTTTGGGCAAAGACCATAGTAATAGCCCTAGTGGAGCTCTCAGGAGTCTTGTAAGGGTTTCCCACATCAAGGAAATAGGAAGGAGTTTCTTCAGAACCACTGGATGGAAGACCTGTGCTGAGAATCAGGTTAGAAAGGTAGTCTTCTAACAAACCAGGCTGAGGAGTTGAATTTCATCCTAGAGGAGATGGAGAATCATCCACTCATTCTGTAAGAAAGATGATCACTTTGGGTGAGTTAATGGGCTCATTAACTTCGTTAATGAACCTGTTTCTGCCAATATATAGCTTTTCCTTAATATTTAGGAAATAAAAGATTTGAAATGTTTTTCTTTATGCTCAGTAGCCCTAGTTTTCAGTGATTTCAACTTTGTCTAATAGAGTCTGACCTGATTACTACTGTCTTGCATGTGACTAAAACCATAAGATAGCTATCATTTGCTGTATAATTAAGGCGATTGTTAAACCTACTGACTATATATGACAGTTACTCTGAGCTTCTATGTTTAGCTTCTACAAAATAAAAATTATAGGAATCTATTCCAGAAATAGTGTAAGAAAGCATATTGGTGATATTTTCTATTTGTATTGTAAAATTCTAGGTGCAATATGAATACTGAATAATAACATAATGGAGTATAACTATCTTGGAATTTCCTGTTTTGCTAAGACATGTATTTGTCCACCATGAGTATATTAAAGTCCTAATAAAAAGCAATGTGTTTTTATAATTTAGAAAAGGATCTTCATAGGCAGTTATAATTATAAATATGACTTGAAGACAAATTTAAAAATTGCTTTTATTTCTGCTGTGGAGATTATAATTTTAAGTGAAATTGTTGAAAATTTATTTAAAACCTGAGCTTTAGTTTGAATATAGTTAGAACTGGATGCCTTCTATAATAAAATTAATTTTAAATCATCATGAGACATCATAAAGCATAAAGAGTTATTCTTTATTTTAATACCCTGTACCCCAAACTGGAAGTCAGTTGGAAGTCACGACTAAAAGAATAATGTACAAAAATGGGAAAGAAATATGATTTTTCCTTGTTATCTTCTTAGTTTGAGGGTAAGAGCAGCAATAAATAGAAGATCAAAAATGGAAGATGATCTTAAGCTAACGTCTAAAACTTCAGGGATCCAGGTGAATTGTCAAATTTTCAGTAGAAAGCAAACTTAAGGTCATCAGGAAGAGTTCTCTGTAGCTAGGAGGGATCTCTGGCCACAGAAAGGGTAAAGACCCTAGGAGCTGGGAGCCGACTCCTAGCCCACTGAGAAGGCTGCCTTGCACAACTCCGCACCCACAGGTGCTGGTCTCACACACCCACTCACCTCAGTGGTTTATATGGGCGGTGACACCGCAAATGTGGGTCCCCTCACACACGCCTATAAAACACAACCAGTACAACTGCATGATGTTTGGAACAAATTTGCTGGTAAGGGAAGAGATATTTATGAAAAGCTTAAATTAAAACCAAGTAAAAGTTTCATGTTGAATAGTCCTACTAGTGACACAGAATGAGTTCTGCCCTGAGACGTTAGCTCCGAAGCATTTGTAGAATATTATTTAGGGTAAATAGTCACGGTAATGAACAGTACTCAAACAAATTGCTTGCTGGAGCAAGAGTGGGGAATACTGTACAAACATGTACTCAAATGCCAGGAGCGTTCTCAGACTTAATTTTTAGAAATTAGCTCCCCTTAGTGTATCCACTTGCTCTTTTAGAGAAGGCTCTTCCCTGGTGTTTGGCAACTGGGCGGTCGGATTCTCTCATCTCCACTACTGTTTTCCTCTAAGAGTACTAAATTCTGCTACTGCCCTTCCAGCCTCCAGGAGAGGATGCTGCTTTTCCTGTAGCACCTTTCCCAAAATGTGGCGGTAGGTCCTCCACAAATTTCCCACAGCGCCGCTAAGAACGGCCTTGATTTTTTTTTTTTTTTTTTTTTTTTGTCATTTAAAAAGACTGCTGGAGACAGTTGACGTCAAGAGTAACCTATAATATTGCATTGATGCTCCGGACGAGAGCCATCCACCATCTCCATCAACCTCACGGCAAGCACCCCTCCCAGCTCTATTTCCACCCCCATGGAAATGCTCCGGGAAACAAACAGAACCTCGAGCCTAGACCAGAATGAACCCTGGCCTCCCAGGGAACAGAAGTTTACCTTTCCTCCTTTTCTGTGCTGTGTCCTTACTCCTGAGGATTAATTTCTACCCAGAGTGATTGACAGTAGGATTACCCATTTCTTTCCGGAGAAAACACTCCCAGCCACAGAGGTGTGACCTTTCACTCTAACCTTGCAACAAACATTCAAAAATTGAACATTTGTACATCTCTCAAACTCAGAAATATCCAGTTTAAGTAACACCATGATAATAGTCCAATCCAGATAGGGTGTGCCAGGCTCAGAAAGGCTCCCTTTCAGTCTCTCCTTATTAATAAATGATTCAAGAACTATTACAATAGTTTTACTCTTTCTCCACGGAAATCTTCAGAAGCCCTGACAAATAGCCTCTCTTCTGCAAACAGGCCTTTCAAGGAGAGAGGAATGGTCTCCTGGTGACTTCTCACCAGGCTGGAAGGAAGACGGATTTCCACACAGACAACAACTCCATTGTGTGAGTGATAACTTCTTACATTAACTACACAAACCCAGGGTAACAAAGCCCTGCTACAGGGTCAATTTAGTCCCTCTTATCTTGGAATCATCCCATAATCCTTCGCTTCATGTCAGCGTGAAAATTTCTTCCCACCAGGTGATGCTTTAGTTTCTCCTATATGTTCTCATGTCGCCAGGAGAGCACATTGTGTGCATCTGTTGTTCAAAGAGCATTACTCATGGATGAAGGCTACAGGTGTGAATGGGCCAACTTCCAGATGCCATGTGTCATTCATCTGATTCATTGGCCCATCAGCCTTCTTTTTTCCCAGAAGTTTAGGAGGACCATCCCTCAAAATCAGCTTGGGGAAGTGGCAGACCCCCAGCTCAGATGCCTATCAGCTAGCTCAGGAGTGGAGAAAGATTTTCCCACCAGTTCTCTATGGGCAGTAAATTATTTAATTCAGCAGTTATTATTTATTGTTCTTAATTGTTGATTTTATTTTTAATTATCTACTCATTAATTTTATCTACTTAAGATTTATTCAACTTGATTTGTTTTTTTCTTTTCAGCCTGCCCAGTTTCCCAAGCCCTTCTGTCACTAGATAAGGAGTAGTTTTCTACCAATTAGCTACTTAGTGTTCACTGAACAAGCCAAACACCAAGGTTCTTTCCTTGCACTGCTTTCAAGCATCATACTTGTGTTTGCCTTTCAACATTATGATAAGCTGCACTTTTCCCTAATTGATAAGTTCTAGTCTTAACTTGCACACATCTATGTAAGGTTATACCAGATCCCTATTCCTCTAAACAACCCTAATGCAGGGATCTTACCTGAATGTTAAAAGAAAAAGAGAGAGAGAAGCTAGAAATATTCCTATTATGCATGTAGGCATGTTCCAGAAAGCCTATTTTGTTGTCCCTTTCTCCTAAGGTTGCAGTGTTCTTGACATGTGCAATGAAATTGGCTGC